GGCTCCCACCTGCAGGCACAGGAAAGGAACACCCATCAGGAAAGGAGCCCTGGGCATTCCTGACCCATCCCAGGAGCAGATGGCAGGAGGCCGGAGGGGCAAGTAGCCGCCTAAAGGTGCTTTAGCCCGGACCCCAGCATACCTAGGTAAAATACACAGACGAGCACTAGATATTCAGGGGTACATTGAAGCTTAAAAAGGGGGAAATAAAAATCTCTTCCACCAATATTCACCACTAATAAAAACCTTTACCTAAACTGTCCCCTGCAAAGTCAACTAGCATCTCCCTCTCCCAGCGGGGAAGCAACCAAGTTGGTTGCCCAGTTTAAAAGAAGGCGACATGTTTAAGGTTTGAAAATAAAACAGCAGAAATTAAGGGTCAGTAAAAACTGAAAGTTAAGCCCGTGAGCGGGGAGTTTAAAATATAAAATCAGGCAGAGGATGAACCCTTTAATGACGAGGGCATACAAGGGGTGGGGACCGGAGCTGTTTATACTTTTCCTTGAATCCCCGGATATTGGCCACACCAGGGCTCAGGGTACTTTGTAAACTCTCCTAAGTCCTCGTCCTCGAGTAGACCCCTTGGGAATTCAGCTCAGCAGGCACTCCAGCCCAGCCAGTTCGGCGGGTAATTCAAAACATTACAGTCACTCAGGCCCTTTTAAATCACAGGTGAGGGACCTGCGAGCAGGACACGGGGTGTGCACGCTTCCACGGGAGGCACGCGATGGCCTCTGCGTGAGCTCGGGTCCCCACCGCGGTGGTCAGTGCGGCCAGTCCACCCGGCCCAGCAGCCGTACGTGGGCAAGGAGCCCCTCACTCCTAGTCTGGGAGTGGGGACCCCTTCAGCCCTGGCCAGGTGGGGGACGCCTCATGGGCAAGGACGTCTTTGTAAGCACAGTGGATACAGGAAACATCCGTGTGCACTTTTTCTTCTTCTTTCTTTCAGATGGGAAGCGTGTTCTCTACACCACAAAAAGACAGCCCATTAGGATGTATCCTCAAGAATTGGGGGATTAAGGTTGACCCACAGACCTTAAAAAGAAAGCTTCTGATTTTTTTTTCTGCGCTCAGGTGTGGCCTCAATACCAACTGGCAAATGGGGAGAGTTGGCCCTCAGAGGGAAGACTCAAGTATAACGCCATCCTACAATTAGATCTTTTTTATAGGAAAGATAGGAAATGGTCAGAAGTCCCATAGGTCCAAACTTTTTTTATAAATCTGGGACAGGCCAGATTTATATAAAAAATGTAAAGTAAATCCCTCGCTCCTGGCAATAACTGCCCAAAGGCCACCGAGGGAGGAGGCGGCGGCCGTGCCCCGCCCAGGGCTGAGCCAACCTCAGCTTGCCCCGAGACAGATGAAGGATCTGGCCATCCTGTAGCCCAGATCCCTTTCTCGCCCCGGGACATGAGACAAATTACAAGTGACCTAGGAAAGTTCTCAGAAGACCCTGACAGACATATTGAGGTCTTCCAAAACCTCATTCAAGTATTTGCTCTCTCATATTGAGACATCATGCTCATATTAAACCCGACCCTCTCAGCCACTGAAAAGCAAAATATACTAGAAAACGCAAGAGAGTTTGGGAATGACCATTTTCTTACGTGTGCTGGGGGAAGGGAGGGCTCTGAGGGAAGAAACAGGGATTTCTTAACAGGACAAGAGGCCGTTCCCCCTGTGGACTCTCAATGGAACCCTGACACTGAGATGGAAAATAAAGCACTGCCAGTTTTGTGTTATAGAAGGCCTCAGACGTAGTAAATCAGAGCCTGTCAACTGCTCAATTAACCACCATTAATCAAGGGGCTGACGAAATCCCTCGGCTTTTCTAGAAAGGCTCAGGGAGGCATTGGCCAAGCAAACGAACATTACCCCAGGGTCAGATTGGGACAACTAACTTTAAAGAACAAATGTATCACTCAGGCTGTCCCAGACGTCAGGAGAAAATTGCAGAAATGGGCTATTAGTCCCGAGAATAGAGAATCTCCTGAAGATCGCCACCTCTGTGTTCTAGAATAAAGACCAGAATGAGGCAGAAGAACAGGGGAAGCCGGGCCAGAACCCAGGTTCTTTGTGCCAGGCTTTGGCAGGCAAGGGCCCCCAGTTACAGCCCGGAGGCAAACAGTCTCGATCACCTGCTACAACTGCAACAGGTTGGACTTAGGTGCCGGAATTGCCCCAAGGGGCATGTTGGACTCCTGAAGCCCTGTTCTACCTGCCAAGGAAACCACTGGAAGTCAGACTGACCCTGGAGACTGAGGTCCCTTGGGGCAGGGCTGGCGACCAGCTGGCCCAACAGGACTGATGGGCTCAGGGTCTCTCAATCCGGCTCCTCAGAGGACCGCCACCTCCACCCAGGAGCCCCGGGTAAGCCCGACAGTGGGGGGGCAAGGAAATTAATTTCCTCCCCGATGCTGGAGCCACCTCCTCTGTGCTCCTCCCAAACCCTGGTAAATCCTCAGAGGCTGTAGCCCTTACAGGCATGTCCGGAAGCCAAGAGAGAGATCTTTTTCTCAGCCTTTAGGGCGCAGCTGGGATAAGTGGTTCCTTTCCCATGCCTTCCTGATCCTGCAAAAAAGCCTCACATTCACATCAGAAACACTGTCCTCTCAACCCTGAGGCTCTAGAACAGTGGTTTTCAACCTGTGGGTCACGACCCCTTTGGGGGTCGAACGACCCTTTCACAGGGGTCGCCTAAGACCATCGGAAAACACATCTACAATTACATATTGTTTTTGTGATTAATCACTATGCTTTAATTATGTTCAATTTGTAACAATGAAAATACATCCTGCATGTCAGATATTTATATGATGATTCATAACAGTAGCAAAATTACAGTTATGAAGTAGCAACAAAAATAACTTTATGGTTGGGGATCACCATAACATAAGGAACTGTATTAAAGGGTCGCGGCATTAGGAAGGTTGAGAACCACTGTTCTAGAAGGACTCAATATTCTAATCGGCCATTTATTTGAGAAGCCCAAGGTTTATTGAAACCTTGTCATAGTCCTTACAATACCCCATCTAGGGCTACAAGAGCCTAAAAAAGGGGGAAGACTAGTTCTTATAACTAGTAAATAAGACACTGACTCCTATCCAGCCAAGAGTCCCTAACCCTTAGGCATTACTTGCCCAAATTCCAGAGGACACAGAGTGGTTTACAGTACTAGATCTCAAGGATGCCTTTTTCTGTATACTCCTGCCTCCTAACTCACAGTTCCTATTCACCTTTAAAAGATCCCAATGGCCCTGGCCTGTTTGGCTCAGTGGATAGAGTGTCGGCCTGCAGACTGAAAGGTCCCAGGTTTGATTCCGGTCAAGGGCATGTATCTTGGTTGCGGGCACATCCCCAGTAGTGGGTGTGTAAGAGGCAGCTGATCGATGTTTCCCTCTCATGGATGTTTCTAATTCTCTATCCCCTCTCCCTTCCTCTCTGTAAAAAAATCAATAAAATATATTTTTAAAAAAAGATCCCAATAATTAAAGCAGTCAGCTAATATGGTCCATTGCGGCCCAGGATTTTCAGGAATGGCCCTTATTCATCTGGGCAGGCCTTTAAACAGCCCAAAAAGGCCCCTTTACAGGCACCGGTTTTAAGTCTCCCAACGGGTCGGCAGCATTGACTCCTCGATCCGTCCGTCACCAGTGAGCCTTGAATGCCAGCCAGCACAGGAGGAGGACACAGCTGCATTGCCCTCAACTAGATCACCAAGATTTCTACTCCCGTGAGCCTCTAAAGGACCTGAAACGTCTCTTTCGAAGGGATCCTGGGAAGTCAATGAGTGCCAGATAAGGAACATTCTCTGGTATTTCTAAATAATCAGTATTTTCATCTTTTTAACAATTCTTATTCTGTCTTTTCATAAGTGTCACCTGAATCCTAGGCTGGTACCTGGAGGAGACCTTCTCTGTCCTTACTGGGACCCAGAAACACCATAAGATATTCCTACTCATAGCCCCTCTCTGGAACCCCAGTATCGTAAATTTCTCAAGCCATACTGGCCCCCCAAGTCCCTAACTACTAAGTATGTTAAAAGCAGCCCAATTCAGGGTCAAATAATCTCAGAGATGTTTATCTCCCACATCTCTTTCAGAGTAAAATGTGTTAAATCTTAGTCTATAGGCCAACTTATGCTACCCCTACCACCAACCAGACCAGAACCACTTCTCAATCCTCTACAGATTTTTATTCACAGAGAAGCCCTCGACTGAGCAGGGCAAAGTCTGTGCCATGAATAACACTCTTGGCTGCAAGCAGCTTAGCTAAAAGGAAGGCCTCATAGCCTCTTGCCCCAGAAGTCTGGACCCCAATTAAAGATATAATGCCATCCCCATTAGTTAACTCCCTCTCCCAGACCTTGGTCTATGCTGTTTTTCTATCACTCATCTTTAACTATTGCCTGTTTAACCTTTGGTATGTCTCATATCCTCCCATTTAGAAGCCCTAAAGCTACAGCCGATCCTCCGCATGGAACAGCACATGGAGACCGTTACATCCATCTTCTGTGGACCCTTAGACCACCCCCTTCTGATGGGACCCCGACTGCTGCCCCAAACTACGACCCCTTGGCCAGCAGGAAGCAGCCAGAAAGATGCGGCGTCCCCTGTCCCCAACGGGATTTTAGGGGAATTATAGGCAGGCTTAGGGAATTTTTAGAATTGGGGTCCATGGAAAAACACAGGGCTACAGACTGGGAGAAGGTATATCTCCATCACACAAGGAAGCCTGGTGCAGTTACATTTCCATAAGACAGGAAGCAGCCACAGGTATACCTCCCTAAGATAAGGGAGCTGGAAGTAGCCAAAAATATTTAATTTACATAATAAAGAAAGCAAGCCAGCAAGAAAAGAACAATGAGGGAGGCGGGCATCCCATGTCCCATGTGGTGTTTGACCTTTGAGTTCAGGAGTTACTATAGTAACCAATCTAAGGGAATAGTGACCAATCAGGGATATCAAGGCACCAGGATCTGCAGCCTTGATAAGCCAGAGGGAAAAGGAACTCAGTGGGACCCTTTACCCCTCCCCACACGGGAGTCCATTCTGTGGGACTCTTTCCCTCTCCCCACGTGGGAGTCTGTACTTGTTCTTCACTAAATCTCCACCTTTACTATACAACCCTCTGTCCGTGGATTCATTCTTCGACTCCGGTGGACAAAGAATCAGGGTTCCAGTCCAAAAATTCTGTTTCACCACCTCCCACATCAGCTTCCTCCTCTGGAAAGCAGGCCAGCACACTGGAAGGTTCCTGCCAGAGCTGAGCCCACTGGACAGGGGAGGTCGGGGGGGTGGCTCAGGGGCCTCACATTCTCCCAGTGGCCTTGGAGAGAACAAACCTAGAGAACAGGATGCCGAGAGCTGTGGAAGGTGTGTGTGAAAGGCTGTACACAGACCCAAGGTCAGAGGCAACTGGGCAGCAGGAGGAGCCACGGTGGTGGTGAGCACTGCTGGGCCAGAACCACCGTGAGGTGTGTACCCTAGTTTTTGCTTCCCTCGCCTTGGCCATTCCCCACGTCAACCCTCTGGAACCTTCCTCCCTCCCAAGAAGTCAGGGAGCCATCTGGTTGGGGGAGCACAGGCTTGGCTACGGCACCCAGAACTGCAGAGCCCTCCTCTTGGCTCCCTGGCTGGTCACACTCTCAGGCACCGGCCTGGGCCAAGGCTGGACGCAGGCCTCCTCCGCACCCACAGGCATCAACCTGGCCCTCAACACAGCAGCGTTGGGAATACGGCCGGGAGGGTGCAGGGCGTCCTCCTACAGCCCACGGGGGTGCAGAGAGACACACAAGCCAAACGCTCTCTCCACTTTATATATATACACACACACACACACACATCCACACCCACACCCGCATCCCTGAGGCCCAGAAGGCCTCCATCTTTGGCATCAATCTGTCGGACTCAGCTTTTCAGCGCGAGACTGCGGCTCCTCTCTGTACATGAATTAAATATGGCGTCGGTCTCCGTGCTGAGTCCCAGGACGTTCACAGTACCAGTACCGTGGGGGATGGGGGGGCCCTGCAGGAGGCAAAGACCCTCCAGGGCTGCCCCTCAGGCGGAGGGCGGGGCAGGGCAGGGGCTGGTATGGGAAGGTCAGGCCTGGCCTCCCCTTGGCCTCGGTATTCGAGGTTCAGCCACCTGTGGAGGTGCCCTTGGGGACACAGCAGGCAGGCCAGGAAGGGGTGCTGGGAGGCCCTTCTCCAGGGGCCCAGGCCCCGCAGACTTGCAGCCCCTGTGCTGGCCCACCCCACCTTCCTCTACCTTGGACTGGCATTTACACTCGCCTTCTCACAGCCACCCTTTGGGGCGGCTGGTGCCATAATCGGGCGGAGCAAGGACAGGGCCACAGGGGCTGGGAAGGAGGGCAGGGAGGCTGTGCCATGCCCAAGGAGCCAAGGCCAGCCTGGCACCAATGCCGGGGTGACCCTGCTTATCTGGGTGCTGTCCTCAGGACCCTGGCCCCGGGCTGGCTTATCAGCACGCGGGTGCGACAAGCAGGAACTGCTCTGGGGGAAGGCTGGGCAGGTAGGAGCTCGGGTCAGAGCTCCAAGGGCAGTGCGTGCTCCCACCTTCCAACTTAAGGCAGTCTGACCCCTTCAGACCAGGGAGACGGCGGGCGGCGGAGGCGCAGGAGTGCCCCTGGCGGTGCCAGGCCGCCGGGCTCGGCGGGCATCCAGCAGCATCCAGGGCCTCTGGCCAGGAGGGGGAATGGGAACAGGTGGGGTGACGGAGTGGGGATAGGCCTACTATTTCCCCTGTGGCCCTGGGGGCCCCTGCCCCTCAGGTGCTTTGGCACACAAACTGGCACCCAGGATTCCAGGGTCCTGGGAAAGGTGCCATGTCGCTTCCTGCTCTCAGAGGGGAGAAGAGAAGGAGAGGCCCATAAGGGGATCTACCAAACTGGTGAGACAGGCAGGCCCTGGGGGGGGCATGTCCAGGGCACCGTGCTCAGCCCGGCAGCTGGGTCCTCCTGGCCCCATGGGCCCCACGCTGGTGCCCGAGGGCTTTGGGATGGAAAAGCGTCTGAGGTCCTTCCTTGCCCCTCACCCCCTCCCAGGGCAGGTGATGGAGGGGTTGGTGTCCAGGCTGAGGCCACCGGGGAGACACGGGGAGCAGGTCAGGACCCAGCTGTGGCCAGCAGGGCTGCCAGAGGTCTTCCGGGCTGGCCTCGTCCTCCGTCCTCCATCCTCCGAGGGCCGCATAAGCCACCCTGCCTGCAGCTGCTCAGTGTGCCTTCTCTCCCTCCGGCCGCAGTGGGCTGGGCGCAGCTCAGAAGATGCTCTGTCGCCGGCTCTTCCCTCGTCCTGGAGAACAGAGGGGACTGCAGTGAGGCAGCCGGGGCCGGAGGGAAGGGCGTGCTCCAGAACTAGGGGCAGGGAGAGCAAGGGCACGCACTTGGTGGCCGGTCAGTCCTGGGTTCAAATCCTGTCTCTGCTACTTAGGAGCTGCATGCAATTGAGACTTAACCTCTTCACAGCCTCCGTTGCATTGACTGGGGAGCAGGAATAGTACCAACTTCAGGTGTTTTAAGGATTAAATGAGTTAATGCATGGAAAGTGCCTATCACTTCCAAGGCCATCAGCTGTTTCCGAGGCCGAGTACAGCTCTCCAGGGTGCAGAGAGTACTCAGAGAGCGCATGCCTTCAGGGCTGTGAGAGGCAGCCAGTTCTGTCGGGGTGGGGGTGGGGGTGGTGGGGGTGGGGTTGGTGGGGGAGGAGGAGGGAGACACTAGAGGAGGAAGCCTGGGCTGGAGATAGGGAAACCAGCCCTTCCCTGCTCCCCACAGGCCCCCGGAAGAGAAGCCAACGTCCAGGAGGCCATACTGATTTCCCATCACAAGAGGGGCTGCTGGGCCCCATCTCTGTTCCCCGAGGAGGGGGAGCAGCCTGTCCTGTCTCCTCTACTGAGCGGGGTGGGGGAGGAGGGGCAGGGGATGGCGCACAGGCCCTACCTGGCTGCTGGAAGGCCAGGCCCCGGCCGCCTGGGTCCTTCTGGAGCTGGATCTCCTTCAGGGAGAAGATGGAGGCAGCTGGAGGGGAGGACAGGGAGAGAGCTGGGCGGAGCCGGCCCTGCACTGAGAGCGGGCGCCCCACACCCAGAGAACATGGAGCTGGGAGCGCCCCCTGGCTGGGGAACCCCTTCAGTTAGGACTGTGCTTTTCAGGCAGAGTCTCAGACCCACAGTTTGGCCGTTTGCTCACAAATGAGAACCAAAAGAGGGGAAGCCCTGGCCCAAGGCTGTGCAACTGGACCGAGGGCCTCTGGCCTTTTTGTTACAGCTCTTCTGCCCACACCTGCTGCCCCCTTTCCGGGCTCTGGGGTTCCCCTCCTCCCCTCCCCCCCACCACCCACCCCGCCACTCACTGTCTTGGAGCTGGTGCACACGCTCCCCCAGGGACCGGAAGTAGGGGTGGTTCAGGGCTGCCTCTGCTGATATGCGGCTCTTCGATTCATACTGAAAGCACAGGGGTGGGCTGGCTGGGTCCCGGCTGGCGGGCTGCAGGGACCCCTTTGGGAAGCGGTTCCCCTAAGCTAAGCTAGATGCCCATGTGGGAGGGGCCCGCGCCCAAACTGAGAAGCCCTGGGGTCCACTGCCAGCTCCCAGCTCCAGCCCAGTCCCAGGCAGCCTCAGCCCAGGTCCCACCAGCAGGAAAACAAGACATGGGACCTCGGGAGCGTGACCTCCTCTGGGGATGGAAATGCAGCCGCTAAAGCAACCGCGATCACAACATTAATAGTAATAGCAACATGTCACACCAACAAGTACCCTCTTCTGTGTGCTTTAACGATTAAAGACATGCCCCAGAGTAAGTGTGTTCCATAAACTCGATTTGGCCTCAGGGCCATCTTATAAAACATGGATGATCGATTGCACTTTGCGTGGAGGAGACTGAAGCACAGAGAAGGTCCGCAGCTTGCCCAAGCCATACAGCCACTCAGTGAGTTTGAATTGGGTTTTGGTTCTGAGTGCGCCCCACTCCAAGTCAGCGGGGAAATCGTGCTTCTCTTGGGCCTGGGTGGGGGGATGGGGGTGGACAGTGGCCGGGAAGGGACAGTCCTGACGTGTGAGCGGGTGAGCACAGAGGTGGGTGCCGGGCCAGGGTAGGGTCGTGGGCTTCAGCTGTCTTTGGCTGCCCGTTCCTGGCCCGGCGGCGGGCACACTCACCAGGAGAAGGCTGGTCAGGAGGTTGATGCCTTCGGAGTCCAACCTGCAGGAGGAAGGAGCTGGCACAGGCCTGGCCTGGGCGGGGTGGGAGGGAGGGTGTGTGCACCTCCGGGAGGGGCAGCCAGGACCACAAGCAGGAGAGGAGGCTGGGGAGGCAGGCTACCTGGGAACGTGGCTGATGAGCGGTTGGGGGAGGTACCGGGGGAAGTTGTAGGCACGGAACTCAGACTGGCCCGTCACTCCAGGCCACGTCTCTTCTGTAGGGGTCCCTAGGGAGACAAAATAAAGGGGTGGGGGGCCTGGTGAGGGGCCAGGGACAAGGGCGACCTGGAGGGGTGCAATGTCAGGGAGGAGACAGAAAATGGCCAAGGCCCCTGGGTCCTCGCCCTGCTGTGAGCAGGTGCAGCGGCTCGTCCCAGTCCCTTTATGCGCTTGGGCGGGACAGAGTTCTGTCGCCCCCTGGTGGTCACATTGGGGGAGCGCAGGAGACTGACCGAGGAGTCGAAAGATGAGGTGCAGCTCCTCCTTCACCGTGGAGCCGGGGAAGAGGGGCCTGCCCGTGGCCATCTCGTAGTGAATGCAGCCCACGCCCCTGTGGGGAGCAACGGGCAGCGCGCGTCAGGGACGGCTGCTCCCCCACGATGCCCTGCCCCGGGGGGCTAGGAGACCTCCTGGCACTGGGGTGGGTGGCCCAGCCCCCACGACAGCCTCTATGGGGGCGTCTGCGGGCTCTAGGGCGCGCTGCCCGCTCCCCTTTCACTCTGTGGGGTTTGTGTCTGCACGGCCAGCACCCCCGTGGCAGTTCCTTAAGCTGTGTTGTCTCAAACCCTGTCCACTCTGTGTTCCCCGCCGGAGGAGACAAGTCATACATCCGCTCTCCTGCAGACCCCCAGGGCACTCATCGGAAACCTGGGTTTTAGTTTTGGTTTTGGGGTTCATACGATAACAAATAATATCCATGCAAATTTTTAAAATGATATATTCTTTCCAAAACGTCCAGTCGATCTGCTTGGGCAGATCATCGTCTTCACAGTGGGGCCTCCGGTGAGCCTGGAGACCCCAGGGAAATACTTCAGAAGCACGGCTCAGAGGGGTCTACTTAGAGACAGGGAACCCCAGTGTGGTTCAGACTTCACCCGTTAGCATCCAGTTCACCAGGATGCCACGTGGGGCAGCCAAAGGGAGTCTGGAGGTGTGGAAGGTCCTCCCCCCCAGGTCCCAGGACGCTCACTCACCACATGTCAATGGGGGTGGAGTACTCGGTGGACCCCAGCAGCACGTCGGGGGGCCTGTACCACAGGGTCACCACCTCGTTGGAGTAGGTCTTCGTGGGCACTGACTTAGCCCGGGCCAGTCCTAGGGACAGACATGTCACTGAGCCGCAGCCTGCCCTCCCCCAGGGCGCCCGCATCCTAAGGAGACTGGCAGACTCCCAGCGGCCCTGGGGCTGTGTCCTCACCGAAGTCCGCCAGCTTCAGCTCCCCCCGCTCATTGATGAGCAGGTTCTGGGGTTTCAGGTCCCGGTGCAGGATCTTGCGGCGGTGGCAGTAGGCGAGGCCCCGCAGCAGCTGGAACATGAAGATCTGGGGCGGGAGGGAAGAGAAGGGGGGCAGTGAAAGGGGGGAACGTGTCCCATGGCTGGGCCTCGGATGGGGACAGGGACTGGGCAGGGTGAGGGACCCGGAGAGCCAACTGGTTCTCCTGCCCACACGGCGGCCACTCCTGGGCTCCCCCCCCACCCCCGGGAACCCCATCCAGAGGGAAGAGCAACAGGTACACGGAGGAGGCGGGAGGATGGGGGAGGGCAGACAGTTCCAGGCCAGGAAGCCCAGCATGTGGGGATGTATGCGCTTGACGCTCTGACAAACACCAGAAGAGGTCATGCATCCCAGAAGCCTCCCTTCACCCCGCCAGGTAACTCATGCTCCCATCTGCCAGGTGGGGAAACTCATGCTGGGGTGGGGAAGGGGGTAGACGGCGGCAGAGGGTATGTGTCTGTATGGCGGGCTGAGGCGCCCAGCACAGCTCCTGGTCCTCTCCGAATGGCACTGCCCTTTCCCTCCATCCTCACTTGAAGCTCTGAGCAGCCTCAGCAGCCAGGGCCCTTGGAGGTGAGTGGGTTCCCACGCTGGGCTTGAGGACAGGTGGGTGCGAGATGGGCGGGGCCTGAGTGCGGGGTCCCTGCCAGAGGTGCTCACCTTGACATTGTGCATGCTCATGAGGTTCCCACAGTGGTCCAGATACTGCTTCAGGTCACTGTCCTGGAACACAGAGCCGCTCAGCCCCGGCCTGTCCTGATGCCGGGCTGGAACCCCGCCCCCCGGCGTAGGCCAAAGCCCAGGAGTGGGACAGGTCCCTGCTCCAAGCTGCCCCTAGGCCTGGAACATCTGAGAACCTGATTCTAGAACAAGACCTGGGACATCCCCAATCTCCCCTCTTCTCACCCTCACGCCACCCCCTGCCACAACTCACCAGGTACTCAAACACCAGGGTGAGGGACCGCTCCGTATGAATGAGGTCGTGCAGGGTGACAATATTGGCGTGCTTCAGGTTCTTCAGCAGAGACACTGGGGAGACAGGCCACCTGGGTCCCAGCACCCCACGCGCCCCTCACACCCCCTCTTCCTGCAATGACCCGCACCCCCAGACTCCTCGCAGGAGCCCTCAGGAGTTCAGGCCCCGGGGGTGCTGTACCCTCTCGGATGGCAGTGCAGGGCGCCCCCTCCTCGTGCTCCAGCCGGATCTCCTTCAAGGCCACCAGGTTCTCCGTCAGCTTGCTGCGCCCTTTGAAGACCGTGGCGTAGGTGCCCTGGGAAGAAGAACCCCGGGGCCCCAGCAACACTCGGCTGCTGCTCTCCTCTGCCCAGGGCCCCCCTCTTGTGCCCCTGCTGGGGCTGTGACTCCCCCTTCTCCCTTCATCTCTCTGCGAAGCATCCCTAACTCCTCCCGCTCGAAGCGAACTGTCCTCCCCCAGCCCCCAGCAGGCCAGGGCCCCTCTATTGTAACGCCAGTTTGTTCTTCTTGCTGCTGGTGTTTGCGTAGGTCTGTCTGGGTTTCTGCAGGGGAAGGGCCACCTTCTTTCTCTCTGTAGCCCTTTGCCCCCCCGGGCAGCCTCGAACATAAAGCCTGGTGCAATGATCACAGAAACAGCTGACAGTACTTAGCTACATGCCAGGCACCTGAGTGCTGTCCACAAGCTTATCACAGTGACCGCTTTGACCCTCAACAGCCCTGTAAGGGGGACCAGTTAGGATCCCCATTTGACGAGGAAGAACCGGAGGCACGGAGGGGTCGCAGAATGTGCCCAAGGCCCCAGAGCTAGTACGTGGTCAAGTTCGGATTCGAACTCAGACAAGAAATAGTGGCATGAAAAAATACACTGGATCCTGCCCAGGGCCCATGAGCCGCTCCATCCTCACACCCTCCTCCAGCACCTGGACCCGGCCCCCCAGCACCTCCCAAAGGCTGAGCCCAGCTGCCCAGCCAAGATCGCGTGCCCCTGTGGGCAGGTGCGGCGAGGGGGCAGGTCAGGGAGGGCCGGGGAAGGCCCTGTCACTCCTAACCATCCTGCTGGCTGCCCTGAGAAGACCAAACCCAGTCTCTTACCTCCCCCAGTTTGTCCAGTTTCACATATGTTTCCAGTTTCCCAAAGCCGATATCTGACTGAGAGAAGAGGCGTAGGGTCCTGTGAGCTTGAAGGCCCCAGCAGCCCGGAGACCATACCTCCCTGGCTCCACCTCCCCAGGAGGAAAGGTAGGTAGACCCCCATGGGGAAGAGAGAACGACTGAGGCCACAAATCCTCCCTCTCCTCCTCTCCCCTCCATCCCTGTGCTAAAGGAGGAAGGCCTTGGAAGTGCGGGTTCCTTCCTCCCAGCGGTGGGGGGTGTGGAGCCCTGGGCTGCAGACCGGGTTCTGCCTCAGCACACGTCACCTGTCTATCTCTGTCTTGTTCGGACTACTCGCTCCAGGAACTCTGTCTTTTCCTCCCCTGCACCTCGAATGCCCAGTTCAGAACCCACCACCCCAGTAGCCTCTCTCATCAGCACCTTTCCTCTAGCTCAGTGATGCCCAACCCTTAACAATACAGATTCCTGGGCCCTACCGCCCAGAGTCTGATTCTGTGGGTATCTAGCGTGGGAACCAGAGTCTGTGTGTTTAGGAAGATGCTCCCAAGGAAATAGGATGGCAGCCAGGACTGGAGAGCACGTGCCAGCTGGTCTATTGATTCCACTCTAGTGGAGACCCTGGGGCCCAGAGGAGGCCCAGCCCCAGCCCTGGTGGGACCCAGCCATAGAGTGAATGTTGACCAAGGATGTAGGACTATATCTGCTCTGACCAGCAGGTGGCGCCAGAGGCTCGGGACCGTTCCTAGAAACTGCTGTGGCCTCGGCCCAAAGAGGCCAAACCATGTGTGTGTCCATGTTTGGGGGAGGGTGTCCCACCCTGGTTATCTCGGCCGCTCTGGGGACTCACCAGGGATGCTCGACGGGACATGCGGCTGAGCGGTTTGGGCAGCTCCGGGCTCTCCAGCTGCAGCTTCTGCAGGAATTCCTGGGGCAGGCGGATGTCCGCGGGCAGAGAGAGCCTCTTACTGATGTCCTGCAGTGGCCAGGATGACACGTGGGCAGCTAGTGCCGTGAGACCCCTGCCTCTCACCCTGGGCCCGGCGTTCCCTGTAGAGCAACTCCGCGGGGCCAAGCCACAGGCTGCGACCCAGGCTCCCAGCTGCCTCAACCATGTGCTCAGAGACCTCCGTGAACACCCGGCCTGTTGCTACGTGAGCTCTGGAGGCCCCTTCCCCTCTCTGGCCAATGTCCCCACCTGTGCACTGAGGCTCCTGCGGACACTATGATTCTGGACGCATATTTTTCATGCACTTGGGTACCTGGGTCATAAGAACAATAGTCCAGTTGTCTGGCCCTTGCTATGTACCAGGAATGTTCCAGGCACGTGGCACAAGGCAGCTCATCTAATCTTCACGGTGACCATTTTAACACAAGGTGACTGCAGTAGGCAGAGGCTGGGAAAGGTGCTCAAGGTCACCGAGCTAATCAATGGCAGAGCTGGAACCTGAACCCATGAAGTCTGGCCCCAAGGCCACCTCCCTCCCGGGCACATGTGAGTGGATGCGTCCTGCCAGGCCCACGGGACGGCCCAGAGCCCTTACCTCCATGGAGAAGCGGCGCTGGCTCTGCCGCCGGAACCGCATGCCCGGGGACGGGGGCCTGAGCTCCTCCCCACCGTCGGTGGGGGAGAAGGTGCTGGACTCTGGCTGGGCGTCTCTGCCAAGAGGACCAAGCTGCAGATCTGAGAGGGAGAGGCATCAGCTCCCCTCCCTGCCCCTCTGCCTCGGAGGGAAGTCCCCATCCTCCCTCTGTCCTCCCCCAAGGCCAGCAGTGACGGTGTGGAGGTGTGGGGTGTGGTCAGCATGGTCGAGGGCAAGGAGGGGCTTTGGGGGGAGTGCCCTCACCCTCATTGTCCCGGTTGTGGAGCTGGTTGAACTGCTCTGCGAACTCCGTCAGGGACTCCTCGATGGTCTCAGTGCGGGGCACGGACAGGGAGAAGCGACGCTTAAAGTTCTTCATCTTATTCATGATCGGCCGGACCAGGCAGCAGGTCCTGAGGCGGAAGTGAGGAGAGCCAGCCATGAGAACAAGGCAACAGGGAATGGCGGGTCTTGGTCTTTCCATCAAGCTCTGTGGTCCTGCCCTGGGAGCCAGGGTTGAGTCTTCACAGGTTCCAGCTCCCAACCCTCTCCCCACCTGTGAATCCACCAGGATTCCCTGCTCCTGGGAAATGCTCACAATAAGGATGAACCAGAACCATACGGCATTGCTCATAATAGCAGCATGGCATGCCAAGAGGGTCCTGGAGGCCCCCCCAGGGCCGGGAGGTAACCCTTTAGCTGCTGGAGATCTGAGAGTTCTGGAAGGAAGGCTGAGTGGCAGGGAGGGCACCAGAACCCGATGGCCCTCGGGCCAGCAGCTCTTTACCAACTTATGTGTGAGCTTGGACATGTCAGCAGCCAGTAAGCCTCGCTGATGGATGCCTATAAGCTAAGTATCAGCCCGGCTTACACCCTCATGACAGAGTCTGGTCCAAACCCCATTCATCCTCATACCAACACCTGGAGGTTCCTCGCTGGCTCGTCCTGGGTCCCCAGGAGACAGAAGAGAGGGAAAGTGAGGGAGGAGGTGTATGCATCTGAGCTGGCCCAGCCCCATCTCTCCAGCTGAGATGTGGGTGTTCCGGCGCAGCTGAAGGTCTCAGGGGAAACACAGAGGGTCCCCGAGGAGCCCCAAGCGGGAAGGGTGTCCACTGCAGAGAACAGTGGGGGAGGGGCGGGCCACTCTGCTGGCTCTTGGGGGGCCCTTCCCCAGCCAGAGGGGTTCTCCCTGCAGCTCCTCAGCCCCCTTGTCCTCGGAGTGAGGAGGCGTGCACTGCTTCCTCCCGCAGACCCTTGCTTCTGTGTCCTGCTCCTCCCAGCCACAGTTTCGTAAGCTCCCACTGTGGCCGCCCCCTCACCCTGCTCTGCCCACACTCCCTCGGCTGCAGTGGGGCCGGGACCCAGGAGTCTCGCAAGGGCCCCCACCCACATCTGCCAGGAAGGCATGGGGGCCAGTCCTGTGATGGGAGGGGCCACCCTCCCCCTCCCCCAGCTTTACCCACGCACCAGACACAGCCCATCCCCGGAGGATGCTCTCAGCCTTGTCACTGGCTACTACCCGGTTGCCAAGGCAACCAGGCCCCTCCTGAATCCTCCTGGTTTAAGGGATTATGGGTCAGTAACATGTTTGCTTTGCCTAATGATCACATCCTTCTGTCCTCTGCCAGAAGGAACCCTGAAAAGGGTCCCTTCCATGGAACTGAATGTTCCTGGCTGCCCCCAAATGCACTCAAGTTTGGTCCCCAAACTCCCCGGAGCCCCGACACTGGGCATGGCCAAGCTTCCTTCCTCGGGCTTGTGCCTCTCAGAACCCAGGTCTTCGGTCTGCACTGCCAGCTAAGCCTCCCTCGGCCAGTGGGCCCTGAAGCCTCACTCAGTTCCGCTCAACAAACGAGGACTGAGTACCTACTGCGTGCCAGGCATTGTGTCAGAGGGGCCTACACACCCCCCACCTGTGACTCACATTGCCCAGCATGACAGGAGTACGGAGGTGACTCCGTTATAAGGGTCAGTGGTTGACAAGGCTGGCAGAGCATCAGCATCACCAGGAAGCTTTGTAAAAAATTCAGACTCCTGCCCGGCCAGCGTGGCTCAGTGGTTGAGCGCTGACCTCTGAACCAGGAGGTCCTGGTTCGATTCCTGGTCAGGGCACATGCTCAGGTTGCAGCCTCGATCCCTAGTGTGGGGCATGCGGGAGGCAGGTGATCAACGATTCTCCCTCATCATTAATGTTTCTATTTCTCTCTACCTCTCCCTTCCCCTCTGAAAGCAATAAAAATATATGTTTGTTTTTTTTTAATTCAGATGCCTGGGTCTCACCCTCAGATTCTGGAACTGAGGCTCTGAGGATGGCGCCCGGGAAGATGCGTCTTAAAAAGCATCCCCGTGGATCTGACATGAGCCGCGGTGGAAGCACCTGAGGCCCAGGACAGAGAGGGTGATGTGTCCGGGTTCCCACTGCCCGCCTGGCTGCGATGGGGACCCCTGAGAGCGAGCTGGGGAGGAGCCGAGGGTGGAGAGCACATTGAGGGGAGCCGGAGGACCCCGAGAAGGGGAGGAAATGTCTGCCAGGCACAGACTGACGCCCCAGACTCAATCATGGTTACCCGGGGGGTAGGGGAAGCCAGGCACTTGGCTCCCTGAGGTTTGAGTTCTGCCAAGAGAGCCAGCCACGCCCCCTTCTGAAAACAGGGGACCCCCCATAAAGCCGTCCTGCCGCCTGGGATTTCTGGCAGGGAGCGATGGGTTTGTGCTCAGGAATCCGCCAGGAGCCAACGTGAATCTCACGTCCTCGCTCTCACTGTGTAGGAAGGCAGGGGGCTCATTCACAGCCTCTGGGAGAGAGGCCCCCAACTTCTACACGATAAAGGAGCCCAGCCCTGAATGGTACCTACTCTCCTCCTGTTCCTTCAGAAGCAAGGAGCCACCCACTTGGGTTGTGGGGGGATGGGGGTGAGGTGGGAGGGGGACAGCTGACTCAAGCAGGAATGGGGGACCAAGCGAGGCAGAGAGATGGGGACCAGCTGTCCTCCACTGGCCTGAGGAGAGCCCAAGGGGAAGTGGCTGTCACTGTGGCGGGAGCGATGGAGGTCAGATGTAGGGATGGACTTCCGGATGGAGACAGGGAGCAGGTGGCAGGGGTGGTGACCATGGCAGAGAGTGGCTGCCTCTCTCTGCTGGGGACAATCGGGGCATTGAACCCAGCAGGGTCTTGGGTGTGACAGGGCAGCCTGGGCAGTGAATGGTCTGTTGTTTCCTAGCTCAAGACACAAGATGCCTCTGTCACTTTTCCCTTGGGAGAGTCAGCTCCTCAGATTTGGGGGTCGCGGGGGAAGGGAGACAGGAAAATGGCCTGTCACCTTGTGGCGTCTGCCCCCACCCCCATATGGGGACAGAAGGGCTCAGTGTGACCCAGCCTGAGGCCAGCCCAGGGCTGGGCACAGTGTGGCCTTTGTCCCCAGGCCAGGGAGCCATCTGGGGCTGTCCCCGTGCGACTGGTGCCAGGGGAAGAGGGAGACGGGCGTCCAGGGAAGCTGGCCTGGGTGGGGTGGGGGATGGTGAAGGAGCACAGCCCTCTCCAGAGTGGGGAGCTGCGGGCTTGGGCAGGCAGAGCGCCCGGCAGGCCTTCCTTCCTGTGCCCCATGCCCAGGTAAGTCTGAAAAGTTCCCAGCCTACCTCCTGCCACTTCCTCCTGGGCACACACCAGCCAGCCCAGAACGTCCAGCTGGTGCAGGAGGAGTGGATGGCACAGGAGGAAGGAGGGGCCGGGCCAGGAGGAAACAGACACTTGCCCAGAGGCCACTGCGCACCCAGGAGAAAGAGCTGGAGTCCTGGGACCGTCGCACAAGGCACCGCCCCAACCCCTCGCTGGCCACGGGGGCACCCAGGCTCACAGAGAGGAACTGACTTGCTCAGAGTCTCCGGGTGTCGCCGTGTTAGGAGGAGAAAGGAGCCGTGTGGTCTCCTAACCGGAATGCTCCCCACCGCCCCTCCCTCTGCCCGAGGCTGTGGGTGCTCTTTCCTCCTCCAGCCCAGCCCAGGTTTAAAACCTGGTGCTACCACCAGCAGGCTGTAGGATGGCGATGACGTTACGTAATTCTCTGCTTTGGCTCTGGTCGTTCATTTGATAATTATTTATTGAACAACTACTACCTGCCAGGAACGGTTGTTGACCCCAGGAATCTTGTGAACAAAACAGACATTCCTTCCCACCTTCATTACGTTCTAATCAAGGCAGGGAGGGTTGGCGCGGACAGTAAAATAAACAGTACACAGAACGTGAGGTGGTGACAAGTGCAATGGAGGAAATACAGCCGAAGGTGTGAGAGGTGGGGGCGTGGCGACTTTAAGTAGGGTGGGTAGGAAGGCCTCCCTGAGAAGGTGGCATCTTCTTGGGAAAATGCCAAGTAGGCCAGGGAAGGAGGCTAGTCATGTGGAATCTGGGGAAGCAGGTGAGCCAGGGAGCAGCAGGAGCAAAGGTCCTGAGGCAGAAGTGGGGACCTGGAGGGGTGGCTGTGGCTGGAGAGGAGGCCAGAGGGGAGCACTGAGCAGAGCAGATCATGCTGGGGCCCCTCAGGACTTGGGAGGGTTCAAGCGGATGAGAGATGTGATCCCACTTAGATTTTATTTTATTTTTTACAATGAGATCTTGCTTTTTAAAGTATATATATCTTTATTGATTTTAGAGAAGAAGGGAGAGGGAGAAAGAGAGGAACATCAATGATGAGAATCATGGACTGGCTGCCTCCTGCACGCCCCCCACTGGGGATTGAGCCCACAACCTGGGCATGAGCCCTGACCAGGAATCGAACCATGACCTCCTGGTTCATAGGTCGATGCTCAACCACTGAAGCCCACCAGCCGAGCCACTTAGATTTTAAACAGCTCCCTCTGGCTGTGGTGTTGAGAACAGACTGTGGGCAGGAGGCTATCAGAGGTCCAGAGAGAGATGGTGGAGCCTGGGTCGGTGTGGGAGCAGTGGGGGTGGGGAGAAGAGGTGGGATTCTGGAGGAATCTGCAAGCCAAAGGGACTTGCAGACTGCAAATGGGCTGTGAGGAAGGGGCCAAGCAGGACTCTGAGGCTTCGGGCCAGAGCAACGGGAAGGATGGGCATGAGGCATGCTGGGAGTAGGGGTTGCATGGCTTGGGGAGGAGTGGGATTTGGGCAAGTGTCTGATGTCCAGAGGACGTCTGCATGGAGATGCCGCGTGAGCTGACATGGCACGGCACCAGCTTCAGGAAGACGCCCAGCAAATGCCAGCTCTCCTCCACTTTCCTGCTCAGACGTGAAGACGTGCCAGCAAAGGGGCCCCATCTAAAGCTCATCAGACACCCCTCACAGCCCATAGGTGCTCTGAGGAGGGTGGGGGTCAGCTTCCCTTCTTAACCTCCAGGGAGCAAGCTGGAGGTCCCCTATGAGGAGCCCCTTTGCCTTCCTCCTGAATAAAGCCCC